TCTATCTGCACCCACTTTCCAGATGATCTCATTTTGTCCCGTGGTTTTAAATACTATTTATACGCCAGCGAGTCCCAAAGAGGTGACTCCAAGCCCTGACTCTCCCCTGAACTCTGGACTCTGAGTACCTGATATCTCCCCTTGGAGGCCACGGGCCTCTGTCTGGCATCGTGCCCAAACCCGGCTTTCCTTGTCCCCACTCCCAAACCTGCCCCTCCTTGTCCTCCTCCTTCTCGTCTTCCAGAACCACTATGCACCCAGGGGCGAAGCCCAAGCCATTATTCCCCCATCCCACATTCTGTCTTCGGCAAATGCTATTACCTCCTTCCGCCTCTGCCACTCTGGTCCCGTTTACTCCTGCCCTCTCAGCCAGACCCCTTGTGCAGCCTCCTCACTGGGCTCCCTGCCTCCCCTCTGCCCCCCACCCACAGTCCATTTTCCTCATAGTAGCCAGCCAGGTGGTATCGATTATCGTTTGTAAAATTTTTATGGAAAATTCCAAACACACAAAAGAAGAGATTGGCACAATGATCCCCATGTATTTTGTTCGTCCCTCAGTTTTGATAGCTAACAAAATATGCCCAACCAGAATGATGTTTTCACAGTCACTTGATGAGCTCACTCCCCTGCTTAAGACCTAAATTCCAAATTCTTTACCATCTTCCTCCCTAACCTTTCTCCTCACTCCACTGTCCTAGCCTCTGCTGCTCCTGGAACATGCCGTGGTTACCTCAGGACATTTGCACTGCTGTTTTGGGGTCTGGATCATCCTTCTTTCAGATCTCTGTGTGACTGGCTGGTTCTCAACTTTCAGGTATCTGCTACCCGGAATGAACAAATATTAGCATTTTGTCATTGCTTCAGAATATGTGAATGTAGAAAAAGAGAGCATTATAGATGAAGGTGACATTTCCTCTGAATTCCTCTCTCCCCGCTCTGCTGCCCCAGGGACCCAGCTACCACCCTGAATGGGCGGGACCTTCTGGGTCTTGTTTTTGTATTTTTGCTACACATGTCCGGAACAAGATAATGTTGCTAATGGGGTTGAGAAAATTCATATGAATGCCATCATTTTATAGTGCTTACTCTGTGACTTCCCCCTTTTCATCACTTAACACTACGTTTTTGAGACCCTTCCACATTGGTGTATACAGATCTCATTCATTGTCACCACCGCGTAGTCATCTCTCAAACAGATCCATCCAATTCATTTCCATTTCCCTATTGATGGGAAAAGATGCTGCCACAAATAGTCTTGCACATGTTCCTTTGTTCACAAATGAATACTTCTGGAAGGAGTGCTTTACAAAATGGGGCTTGCAGCCCAGTAGGGGGTAAGGAAAACAATTCAGTTCCTTGTGAAATGGATCGAATAGAGAACACACGCTGCATGCAGTAAGGGCAATTACTGTCTCGTGAACTCATTTCGGTTTCACATGCGTGTGCAACGGGCATGGCCCCCTGAGTCTGAGAAACAAACGGATCTGCCAGGTCAGGACGCGTGTCACGTCTGATGCTCTGGTTGCCCCCGCGGACTCACCGACACATTTTTGTCAGACTTTTTTTGTCTTTGCAAACGAGCATGAGAGAGTTATCTCATTGTGGTTTTCATTTGCGTTTCCCTCGATTACTAAGGAGGGTGGCAGCCTCGCACACGTTTATTGGCTCTTTGGGTTTCCTCTGCTGTGAATTGCCTTTGCCTATGTGTTCTACAGTCACTTGATTTCATCTTATCTATCTTTATGTTGGTAGGAGTTCCTTAGATGTTCTGTCCATTCTGGATACTGATTCTGGGACTGCTGTGTGAGTCGCAGACATTTCTCCCAGGCCAAAGCTACCTTTTGGCTTTGCTCACAGTGTCTCTGCACCAGATTCAGCAACAAAGAGTTTATCGGTCACTTGGGCCAGGGTGGTGACAGTGGGAGTGGGGGGGCAGGAGCAAATGGCCAGTGGCTGGAGGCGGCGGTAAGATGGTTACAGAATTTTTTTGCAACAACGTGATTTGAACGGCGAGGTGAGTGAGTGAGCACCGAGGAACATTTTCCTTTGTTCCTTTTAATAAAAGTCGCCTATGTTGAAGGTGCACAACCTGCTGTTTTGAATATCCGTATACAGGGGCGCCTGGGTGGCTCAGTCGGTTAGGCGGCCCACTTCGGCTCAGGTCATGATCTCGCGGTCCGTGAGTTCGAGCCCCGCGTCGGGCTCTGTGCTGACAGCTCAGAGCCTGGAGCCTGTTTCGGATTCTGTGTCTCCCTCTCTCTGACCCTCCCCCGTTCATGCTCTGTCTCTCTCTGTCTCAAAAATAAATAAACGTTAAAAAAGAATATCCATATACATTGTGAAGTGGTCACCACAGTCCGGCTAAAATTAGCATATCTATCACCTCTCCTTAGTTACCATTTGTGTGTGGTGTATGTGTGTTGAGAAGATTTAAGATCTATCCGCTTAGGAAATTTCAAGTAAACAATAAGGTATTATTGTTAGCTGTGCTCACTGTGTTGTACATTAGATCTCTAGAATTTATTCATCTTTATAATGGAAACTTTGTACCCTTTGACCGGCCCCCTTCTCCCCACCCCAGCCTCTGGCTCTGGCTGGCAACCGCCATTCTTTTGTCGGTTTCTGAGTTTGGCTTCATTAGATTCCACGTATAAGTGAGATCATGCAGTATTTCCCTTTCTGTGTCTTACCTCACTTAGCATAATGTCCCGCAGCTCCACTCCGTGTTGTTGGGAATTTTCCTTCTTAAAGGCCAAATAATATCCCATTGTATCTATCTCTCTCACATGTTGGAATGCATATGAATACAGCCACTATGAAAAACGTATGGAGGTCCTCAGAAAATTAAAAATAGGACTGCTTTATTATCCAGCCATCCCACTTCTGGATATAGAGCCGGAGGAATTGAAATCAGGATCGTGAAAAGATAACTGTACCCCCTTGTTCATTACACCATTCCTCACAATAGGCAAGATATGGAAACAACCTAAACGTCCTTCAGTGGATGGAGGGACATTTTATTTAGGACACAAGAGGTCTAGTAGAGAAAAGGGCAAGCAGGGAGAGGGGCAGTGGTTGAAGATGGGTGGGTGGGAGAATATCCGAGAGAGGTCTAAGTGAGCCAGCAGAAAACAAATACACTAAACACATTGGTTCTTGGGACGCCTGGGTGGCTCAGTCAGTTAAGCGTCCAACTTCAGCTCAGGTCATGATCCCCTGGTTTGTGAATTCGAGCCTC